CACACCTTCGTAGCGTCATCTCATGTTCCAATTTGATTAGTGAGGAAATTAATATTAAACAGTACTCAGGTCGTCAACTTTGGTCTGGCTTGACCTGGTAACTAGGTCGAATATTATGTCGAAGGATGAGTGTATGAGGATGAAAAGAAAGCCTACCTTAGTTATACCTACACTCCCATCGCATCCCTGAAATTATCAGCTTTCTGTGAATCAAAATAGAACAATATTGCCTATCAAATATTTATACTACATAAAAAATGGCATAGGAAACAGCTCTGTAATATCATTTTTCAAATGCTCATCATTACTTAATTTAATTGATGAATTGAGAAACAGACAACTTTGCTTATTTATGTATGGGTCTAGGCTTTCTCTTTGCAGTGAGGAAACACTAGTATTTTATCACGATAATATTTTTTTAAATAATAACATTTTAATTATGGTTAATACAGCCGCTATCACAAGTTTGCTTTGGTTTTTGCATATTTTCAAATCCTTCATAGATTGATCTTAGTGTGCATCAAGTCCATGTATACTGATTATATTATTTCATTAAAATGGTTCAAACGGATTGAAGTCTCATCCTTTCATAAAAAGATCAAGAGAAAAACATGTTCCGACGAAGAAGTGAAGAGTAATTGCAGTGGTATTCATCAAAGTTTATTAACTCTTAAACAAGACAGGGACCTGGAAAATAAAAATATCAACGGAATATTCTTCTCTGTTATTATTTTAACTTATATTGGTAAATATCACATGAAATAAAGCTTGTTATAATGTGTGTTTTTCCTTTGATTTAAGAAATTGTAAAAACTGTCCGACATCTTTGACACAAAAATGAGGCAAAAGATCTCGTTCAGTCGTATGTTTTTCAACTTGTTGTTTGAGAGTATCCAAATATTTCTCGCTTGTTGCTCCACTAAATACAAGTAATGTTGTTGTACCTTGTCGATTACCAAAAGCAATATCAGTTTCAACTCTAAAAATGAATTATAAACAAAACACTTATTCTGATAGGAAAATCTTTTTTAAACTATACCGATCACCAATCATTACTGTTCGTTTAGGGTCAACATCTGGAAATGTTAAACGAATAGCATCAAACATTGGTCCATGTGGTTTACCAAGTATTGTAGGTGAACGACATGAAGCTGTTGCAACAGAAGCTAAAACTGAACCGGCACCTAAAACTCACTAATAAAATCTATGATATCTTATTTCCAGAATAATTACCAGGCATAACAATTTCATCATTTTGTGGAAGACTTGCATCATCGTTCGTAGCTAAGAAGAGGACATTTGGTCGATTAAGATAAGTTGCTGCTTTAAGAATTTTAATATAGCTTATATGTAGATCCAGAGCAGATATCACACAATCAACCTATACATTGATGTAGAATGAACAAAAAGAAAATATGGAAAGACATATTAAGTTTAATAATACAAACATCTTTATCCAATTCAACTTTATCTCTTTGGACTGCATTAGCATCAGAAGGTAAAGGATCAGGCTAAATCATAAAAGAAAAAACAAAAATAACGTTTCTTCTCATTATTACTTTCCATACTTACACCGATACCACCACAAATATGAAAACCTTCTCGTTCTAGTTCATGTCTCATCGATTCCATTCCAAGTACATAACATTTTCCTTTAAAATTAATCGATTTCAAATGTTGAGCAGTAAGCCATGCCGTACAAATAATTTGTTCCTAATCGGACACATACATATTTATTTAATATTTATATATTTATAATTCATCTTACAGGTTTAGCTTTATACCCAATATCAATAAAACGCTTTGCATAATCATCTTGTGTTTTAGTTGAATTATTTGTAATAAAAAACAATCTTTTACCCTTCACAAAGAAAAAAAAAACAAATTGTTTTCCCAAAAAAAAAAATTATTTTCATACTTGTTCTGATAAATAATTCAGTAATTCAACTGCATCTATAAAGATATCAGGAAAATTCCAAAGAACACCATCACAATCGAACAAAAACGTATCATTATCATTCAATAACGATTTCGCATGAAGTTCTGTTAAATGAATACAAAGTTCTTTTGTTGACATCTAAAATATCATTAGTTAAATCTTTGATTAATATGAATGGAGCTTGAGCCAAAAATGGCATAGAATTCAATCAGAAGCATTGAAGTGTATAGACATAGAAATCTAGACTCCTCTTCCGAAGATCTGTGAGAGACGGTTTCCGTAGATTATCACAGAGCTTATATTACGAATATGTCATTAGAGTATATGAACTATTTTCTTATTAAAGTTCTGATGGATTAAATACACGTGGATGAAGCAATGTGTGTCAAAATAGATGGAATAAAAGATATTTCATATAACTAGCAATAACAGTTCCATTGTAGTTCACATTTTAATCCCTGTGGGATTGCGCTAACAACTTTTATTTTATTGATACTTGTGCCTTCAAAATTTTATCTTGTTATAAATCATAATAATGTATAAAGTTTTTTTTTACTGCAGAGTTTTTTTTTCGCTCTATCCAGTACAGTCATAAAGTATTATCATGTATTCTGTGATTAAACCAATCACGAACAAAAAAACAACCATATTTTTGTTTTATTAATTAACTACTTTTTTCATTCAACTTTTCAATAATGAAATAAATCTATAATTTCGATTATCTATACTCATATACTAATTTAAATATTTTAACATGAAAGCAAAAAAAAAAGAAAAGGAAACTTTTCCTCTTATATAAAATATATGATCACTCTTAAAATATATCAACCTAATCAAATACAATTAAAGATTATAAAATTTTCTTCCTCTCTCTTTCATGTACTTACAATCTTATAAAGCTAAAATAAAGTACATTTCATTTTTTTTTCAGTAACAATGGGTTGTATAAGCTCAAATCCAACGCCGACAACAACACAGTCAAATTTAAATGTTCCCAGTTTTGCTGTTGTTGCTCAACAAGTAAAACAAACATGGCCTGATGTGAAAAAGATTGATAGATTAGCAGCCAAAACGTTTGCTTAGTAAGTTATATTTGAAATTAAAAAAAAAAAAAGAACGAAAAAACGAGCAGATGTTTTGTGTTCTCATTAGTTTATTATACAAATATCCTGAATTTCGTGGATTCTATCATATACCTGAAGCATACAAAACTGAAGCCGAGTTATTAAATGCTAATGAAATCAAACAACCAAGTGGAAATTTTTTTTCATTATATTCGGATATAGTTGAAAATAGTGATACAAGATTTGATGAAGTAATTCGAGAAAAAGCCGTTGAACTTTATGGATTAGGTGTTCGTTCATTTCAAATTAAAGTAAATTTTAGAACAAAATTCAAGAATATTTGGTGTTTTTTTTTGTTTTTAGTATTATGGTGAAAGTCTTGTACATGTTATTAAACATGATCTTAAAGATGGATTAAATGTGGAAGAAAAACAAGTTTGGCAATTATTTACTAAACAAGTATCAGATCGTTTACTTTCGGAAATGGCTAAATTTCCAAGAAAATCAATAGTTTAACAAAAGTCGACCGGTTTTTTTTTCAGAGACAATTCTCATTCATTAATCAATAATAATAAATAAACTAGATAGTTTAAAAAAATTAACTTCAGTTTTTTTTTTCTTTTGTTAAAATCCTTTTCGAATATAAAGACAAATAGAGAAAAGAAATATAGTTTGTAATATTATATGTAATTGATTCGTCTTATCTGACATAGATGATTGATTATATTCATATGATCTTGTGCAAAAATTTTGTACAGATAAACGAATATCTGATTGTTGTTGTTGTTGTCTTTGTACATGATTTTTATTTATTTCAGAAGGACATTGAAAATTATTCTAAAACAGAAAAAAATAAAAGTTTTATTATTTATAATTTTCATAAAAAAAAAAAAATTTTTTTTCGAACAAACCAAAGAACCACAAATAATTTGACAATCAGGACAAATAATTGTTCCAACATAAACTGAGTCATATTCTGCAGTTATAATAGTTAAATTTTGACCTTGATATTCACAAAGATATTTTTCTTTTCCAATATAAACATAAAATCCTTTGTATGATATACATTCAAACTTAAAAAGAAACAAAAAAAAACCTTTTTATTCAACAAATTATATTCAAATAAATACTTCATAACATCCAGCTGCTTGCGGAATAACACGACGTTTTCTATGACATTGATCAATATATTGTTCCCATATAGAACCATGATCAAAACATTTCGATTGAGAAGAATATTTTTCAAGAGCATAATTTTCTTTATCTAGAAGAGGGAAAAAAAAAGAATATTTTAATGAGCAATGTTTTTTTTTTTTTGTTATTCAAAATATACTTGGTGGTTGATTTTCTGATCGATAACATCTTGAATCACGATTAGAATTTTTATAAGATAATTCTTGATTATATGGACAATAATCAGCTAACATAACATGTCCACCAAAACGTGCAAGTTCATTTTCATCAGTTATATTTGGTAGAGAATCAAAGATCTAGTAATAAAAATAGAAATATGATTATCTATTATCAATAAAAGAAAACAATAACTTGTTTGTATTATTCATAATTCAAAAAAAAATGAATATTTCACTTTATCAAACAGTAATCAATTCTCGACGAACATTTACAATACAAAGCATTGACAAATGTTCTGATTAGATTTTTGAATTATTAGATGATCAATCAAAGAGATCTTGATTTATAAAAGGTAGATATTCATCAATGAGTTTGTTATGACGTTAACAAACTTTTACTTAGATATTATTCAGCCTGCTAATAAGTCAATCTTATTGAGACGAACGATAATTTGTAATTACTATAAGAATTGTAAATACAAATGACTGTTGAGGAGAGAGAACGACTTGATACAAATAAGACTTTTCATAAATCTGATGTAGTTTGACAACAAAAAAAATGTCTAGAGCACTTTCAAACATTTCATTTTGTAAAGAATTTCGTGTGATGCAAACAAACTTCATGTCCAAGTTCTAGACGTTATAAAAGTAAATATTTGCTCATTGATAACAGTAGTAGATATTGTCATCGTTTTATATCAGATAGTACATTTCCATTGTATATTTTTTTGTTGTTACAAAAACATTTTATTTGAAAAAAATCCAACTTTTGCAGTTTTGTCAAACTTATCAATTGACAATTTATGTAGTCCACTACAAGATATACTTGCAAAGTTATTTAATTCTATATTTTCTTTATATTCTGCAAACATACTATAATAAATAGTCACTCAGGTGATTAAGCGGGCAGATGTAAACGGCTAAAACTATTAAAGGATGCAGCAAAAGAAATGAACTTCTCAATATCGCTGTCGCTGTTTATCGTTTTCGATTGAACTTTTTCTTCCAAAAGATCCAGAATAATATTGCCTACAAACACTATGTAAAATCGTATGTTAAACATTAAGTCACTGTGACAACTATTAAAAATAAGTCTACTCTCAGGATACAAAACTTCTGTTAATCAAATTTTTTACTGTAGTTTTCACCTGATCAAGAATAATTTGTCTTGAATAAATTGTCTATTCGCAAATACAACAAACATAGGATACAAAGACTTGTATTTCTCTTAAATCTGAAAGGAAAAAATGAATGCGCCTTTTGCATAAAAGATTTTTGTCGAAAAAACTATTAACTACGAATATGAAATATAATTTTTCAAGCTCTGAAAATCGACAAGAAAGCTTTATGCTTGAACATTATTACCAATACAACTCATTTTACATCTTTTGAGAAAAAGTTCAGTCTGAAATGATAGACATATTGAGAAAATACGCAAAATCTCGTTGATTTTGTTGTATTCATTATTCTTTTAAAATCTGAATTTAGTAAATATGTATCACTTTATAAATATACATTAGCATCAGTATTGGTTTTAAATATTATTAAAAGCTTAATGATCAACCTAAAGACTTTTAGCTTCTTATCGAAACTATATCGAAATATCTACCATTTGTAGATCAAACGAACTTTATGATCTCTATAAAGTGATCATCCTGCGAATCAAAAATCTAATGAAAAACGTTTTCAATATATTATATTGATTGATAAAATGAATTTTTTTTTGTTTTGATGAATACAAAAACTTTACGATCTTCAACTTTTCACATCGTTAAATTATTCTAAATGAATATTTTTTGTTCATACTTGATATTCAAAAGGTAAAGCAGTAGAATATTCGACAAGATTGCACATAACTATTTTATCATATGTATAGTCACAAATACGCTTGGAAGGATTAGGTTTTGGTGGTGAAATACAAAATGGATAAGGATTTTGTTTTCTATAATAAAAAAAAAACAACAAAAGAAAAATAAAATTTATTATGTCTTATATAATTGATTTTACTTTTCAAGTTTTGAATCAATCCATTGTTTACAACTTGTTTTAACAAAATCACAACCAAGATTACGTCCCCAAAGAAGAGGTTTACCATATTCATATGACACATCATACCATCTTTTCAATTAAAAACAAAAAAACAAAAAAAATGAATTGATCAATTTTTTATTTGATTAAAGAAAAAACAAAAGTCAATTGATCTTACCCACTATCTTCTAATAAAGCTAATGTTAAATTTGAAATTACAGATTCTTGAGTATAAGTTCCAGTCATTATTTCATGCTAAATATAATTATAATATTATATTTATTAATAAAATTTTTACAAATAAACTTACTTCAAATAATCGTTTTTCCCAATGAGTTAAAGCTGTACCTACATTTCCTTGATTTTCGAGTTCAGCTCCTTCTAATGTTGAACATCTAAAATGTTCACGTACAACAGCCTGAAATACAAATACAAACATGTTAAATTTAATAATTTTTTTATTTTTCTCAAGTTTTTATCGTTAATTTACTTGAACTCTTGGTGTTACCAACATTAATATAATCTTATCAACTAGTCCACCACGAGTTTTCCAATTTTTTCTTACTATTTGTTTTAGTACATTTTCATTGGGTGTATATATTTGTAATCTATTAAAATGAAATCAATTTTATGAAATAATGAATTCAAATATATGATATACTTTTCATCATAAATTTTAGGCCATCCTGTCGCAGGATCACGTTCAGTAAATGGTTTTCCATTACTATCTCGAAAAAATGCAAAAAGACCCGAAGAAAACACCTGTAAAAATTAAACAAAAACAAATTGACTCATATTTTAATTATCATTAAATTATCAAGTTTATATTACCCATGTATGAAGAATTTCATGTTTTATTGTACTAACAAGACGATCAAAATCTATTCCATTACGGTCACCTCTCAAACGTTTTGGACATACATTGATATTACCAGCAATTGGTCTAAAATAAATTTAAGTTTTTTCAAGATGACAGTAGTTTTCAAAATGTAGTTCTTTCGATAAATTCTGATATATATGTCTCCTTATCATCAAACAGAACGAATTAAGCTAAAGGTACAGAAGGTAGAAGAAAACAATACTTAGGGCGCATGAGCAAACATGTAAATAGATGAAAATGATTTAGTATCTTAATTTTATTCTATTTACCTATCTTGTTGACGTTCTAATTGACAAAAGGATGCTGTAGCCAATGTATCAATTGGTTCACATCGATTTGTTTGAAGTACTGATACATATAAAATAAATTCAGTATTAACACCAGGACCTTGT